TATGCATAGAGATTTAAGCATATATCACTGAAGTCCTTTATCACTGTATTTATGGATGAACAGACTGATGCATAGTTTGACTTGCCTGTTTTTTACTCATGGCTAATTAGGGGATAAATTAAAAATTAAAATCATATCTTGTTTTTTTTTCAGTCTTCTCTAATCATTTCTCTTTATATTTGTCAAAATAGTGATAAATGACATTATTGGATTTTTGTGCACATTAAAATATATTGGTCTGCTGTATTGAAAAAATGGAACTTGTGATATATCTCAATTTATTATTTTCTGAAAGGCTAGATGCAGGAAAACTTATACCCACTCAATCCCTCTTTTTTAAAAACCTGTACATATGTGACAATGAATGTTTCTCAAAATAACATTATTTAAAATGGACAGAAAACAGTATTTTCTGCTGGTCTTTCATGTGTTTGTCCTACCTAATAGTAAAAGAGCAATATGCAAATTCACCATCACTCTGCTCCACAAGTCACACCCACAAGCCACGCCCATCAGCCAATCAGCACAAGTATGCAAATAAACCCAACCAAGATGGCTACACTCACAGAGAGCAGAAAGAAGGTGTTTCCCCAGCAACTGAGGAAGCCAAGCTTTCCACCTGCCCTTGCCGGCCCAGGCCTCCACTTAAGGCTACAAAGTTTTAATTATAGAAGGTAAATCCAAACAGAAACGGGAGTGAGCAGGTGGCTTGGCTCTGCTCCAGGCTACAAAGTTTCAGTTGTAGAAGGTAAATAAATCCTAGATACCACAGCCTCTGCTTGGATTGCTGGGGGGCGTGGCCAGCCTGCAAACCATCACAGGCTCCTCGCCCAGGCTGCCCCACATCCCAAGGGAACCCCCACCCTGATCCAGGACATCCTTTAGGCAAACCAGCTGTCCCCCATCCATGCACCAGGCCTCTATCCTATCTAATAAGAGTAATGTGCCGATTGAGCATCACTCCAACACACAAGATGGCTGTCCTCATGTGGTCAAAGATCCTGCCCCTGTGTGGACCCAAGATGGCCACCACAAGATGGCCAGCAGGGGAGCGCAGTTGGGAGGGACCAGACCTGCAAAAGAGGACAGTGTGGGTGATCAAGAAGTAGGGGAGGGCAGTTGAGAGGGACCAGGAGTGCAAGGGAGGGCAGTTAGGGGCGATCAACCCTGCAGGGGAGGGCAGTTGAGAGGGACCAGGCCTGCAAGGGAGGGCAGTTAGGGGCGATCAAGCCTTCAGGGGAGGTCAGTTAGGGATGACCAGGTCAGCAGAGGAGGGAAGTTAGGGGCAAACAGGCTGGCAGGGGAGCAGTTAGACATCAATCAGGCTGGCATGGGAGTGGTTAGGGGCATCAGGAAGGCAGGCAGGCAAGCAGTTGGGAGCCAGCAGTTCTGGATTGTGAGAGGGCAGTCTGACATCCCTTGAGGGGTCCCAGATTGGAAAGGTTGCAGCCTGGGCTGAGGGACACCCCCCCGCCCCCACCTACGTGCACAAATTTCATGCACCAGGCCTCTAGTAAATCTATATTTGTATTTATCTTTCTATCTCTTGAACCAAGTAGAAATTATGTTGCTGTTAAAAATTACTATTTCCATGTTTCCCCAATATAAGAAATGCTCATTCATAAAATTGATTTAAAAAAAAAATCATAATGATAAGGTTATATTTTGACAGTTCCTTGATGTAGCAGCTGCATTCATGCAGGAGCAGTTTGATGTAAAGCTGACACTGAGCTCTGCATGTGGTGGGAAGTGCCTCACCTCCTGTATACCTATTAGGAGTCTCATTTAATAAGGTCCCTTGGCACCTCTGAGTAAAAGCCAGAAGGTCCACTGAAATGTTCTTAAGGATTTTTATTCTTTCATGGCAGCATTACTTGTTCCTCTCCCCCCTACCCCCTTGATTGCCTTCCTTTCTTCATCTGTGGGCACTTCTTTATTTAGGATCTCACCTTCTCTTGTCTGGAGTATTGCGGTATTCTGCCACCTGCTTTTCTATTGCCCAGTCTCTCCCCTTTCCAGTCGTTCTTCCATTCTGCTTACTTTCGCAAATATAAACTTGATTACGTGACTTCTTGCCTGAAAAATGTTTTCATGGTTCTCTAGTATTGGATACAATGTTTCCTATGACCTGTCTATGCTATATCCAATAATATCCCCCACCTAGGCCTCATCTATCCATAACTAGTTCAAAGGTATATGAAATAGTTGTGATGTTCCAACTTTTTTGTCCAAAACATAAGTTATCCCCTTTGGTCATAAATAGAGGAGAAGTCTGTTTCCTAATTCTGAAGCTTAACATCTTCATTTCTGTCATTTTCCTTCCCATGGGCTCCATGCTTGTCCTCACTGAGTTGGCTGATGGCCATTTTCCTGTCTATTAATAATGATTTTAGAAATATGATGTCTATATAGTTTCCTCATATCCTCTCGGTAGTTATTTATATCCATTAAAGTCTTTGCACTAATCATTGCTACCATTCTGTTTCTTTTTTACTTTTCCCCCTTGGAATTTAGCCCTTTTGCATATTCTATCAAAGTATGGAGGAATAGGCATTTACACCACCATTCGGGCAAAGGTCTGGGTTCTTTTTATATATCTCCTCTTTGTACTCAGTATACTACACTAGTCTGGGCTGAGAGAAGCTTCCTTGTGCTAACCGCTAGCACTGTTTACTCAATAACCATAGTCATGTTCATACACCGTCTTACCGTTTTTAGAGGACTTTTGCATTTCTTAATCAGTTGATCTGAACAGCCCTGTTAGAGGATTACAATCACTTTGTAGGCTAAGAGGCTGAAGGTCCTGTGGGTCATTGGAGTGGCCTGGACCTCCCAGCTGGGTGGGGGCTCCTCTGTAGGATTGAGCTTCCTCCCCCTTCCAGCCTGTTTTCGCTATACTCATTGGTCAAGGCTGCCATTGCTCTATGTCCTGGAATACGATTTACTGATTTTAATTAGTACTTTGAATATATTATTTCACTTAATTTGCCAGCATTCCTGGCAGTGGACATGCCTGGCATTATTAATGCCATTTTACAGATGAGGATAGTGCAAATTGGGACAGTCAAGAGACTCACCCCGGTTTGCCAGCTTGGGACTTAGAAAACAAAAACCAGGGCAAGTTTTTGGACACTGAGCCCACTGTTTCCAGTGGCCATGCTGCCTCTTTGTACCACTGTAAGGTATATTGGAAACTGAAACACATTTTTATTTTTGGGATTTCATTGACACAGTTATCTGGTTTTGCTCTATACTAAAGGGGGTCCTCATGTATGGTAATAGGAGATTTGACATTGAGTGGTGGACACACAGTGCTATATAAAGATCTTATAACATAGAAACCCACACCTGAAACCCGTGTGATCAGATTAAAAAATGTCACCCTAATAAATTTAATAGATTAAATGGCAACTTTTGGTTTAACTAAGCATGAATTTTATATGCCATGGAACCACTGTGATTAAAGGAATGGTTATAATTTAATGATACATTATCAGAAATTTATTACTTAAGGGATAAATATACCAGAGGCAAGAAGGTGCGTTTCAGGTAAGGGATTATTCTGTATCACTCCTTGGCATTCCACTCATCTTGCTCTCTGTAATTTTCAGGCCCTTCTTAGAACATGGAAGGAGGGCGATAGGGAGGGGAAATCTACACTACTAATAGTCTCCTAGCCAGTGGCTACAGCATCCCCAGTAGTACTGTAGTTTTGCTTCATCATTCATTCCCATTGTTTAGTCAATATAATTGATTGATTGTAGGAACAACAGCCTTTCTACAGAGCCTCTTGAGTGTGTATATTTATACTGTTCCACAGCAGGAATCTTTACTGACCTGGTAGAATGTGGAGGTCACAATGATGCTTTATTCCAGGTTTCCTCTTCGCTGTGGAGTCTGCATAGATCATGGTTTGATTGCAGTTTTCTGTGTAAGCCAGCAGCTAGTTTTCACTGTGTCAGTGTCTGAATGTCTGCTTCTGAATCACTGTTTATGGAGTTAGACATGGGTGTGATGCTATGTAAGGACATAAAAATTTATAAAAATATATATGTACCAAGTTAAAAATCCTAATTTATGAATAATATTACAGGGAAACTTGTTATGGTATGTGAAGAGGCTAAGAATTGGGAGTCAAAAGGTTTGAGCTCCTTACTACACTGTGTGTGGGCTTCCTTTCTGATCTAACAAGTTTCCAGCTCCTCTGAGCTTTCATTTCCTCATTTGTCGAATGTAAAATAAAAATGCTCTGTCAGGGCTGTGAGGATGTTATTTACAGGATATAGATAAGAACTCTGCATATCTAAAATGCCATATTGATGTTATTTATTTTAGTAAACAGTGATTACTATATGTCAGGTCTTTTTAAATGTTTTTTTTTTTTAATTTTTCAATTACAGTTGATGTAACAATATTATGTTATACATATAGTGATTAGACATTTATATACCTCATGAAGTGATCACTCGATAAGTCTAGTTCCCATCTGACACCATACATAATGACTACAGTGTTACTGATTATATTCCCTATGTGGTACTTGATGGAAAATTATTTCAATTCAGACCGCCTATCAGCACTGGAAAGCAGGCATTATTATCTCTATTTGACAGACAAGGAACCAGGGATACAGAGTGTGTAAGGAACTGGCTGAGGGACTTAGCACTAGTGCATAGTCCTGATTTAAGCTCCAGTTTCTCCTTTGCTGTGCTGACTGCTGTTAATTAAGGATCAGCAGTCGAGGTTTGAACTTTAACAATTGGCATTATGTTTCTAAGAATGGAAGTGGCATGCCAGACTCACTATAGTTTTGTACTGTTTTAGGAAAGTTACTACTTAAATGGATCCTACTAAATGCCTTTAAAACACTTAGCTATGTTCCTGCTAAGATTTATGTATAAAATGTTTTCTCATTCTGACTTAACATCAGCATACAAAATTCCCTTTGATGTGATCTAAAATGTCTTACAAATCTTAATAATTTTTCTTTTTCTCTTTAGTCATTCCTACACTGGTCAAGACTACAGTACACTGGGCAGTGCTGGGAAGATTTCTTTGGATCAGATTGACTCGGTAAGCATCACATCCTTTTAAATTTAGATCTTTGTTAATGGAGGAAGCACAGATTTTCTTCAACCGAAGATTATTTTGGTGTCAGAATATTGGGAGAGAGTATTATTCCTTTGCCAATCATTTTAAAGAAATCCTATTTGCTATAAAATGAATTTTTTAAATCATAAAAATACCAAAATTAATCAGGAAATTGTTTGTATTCTGAGGAAAACAGGATTTGATTAATTAATGGGGAATTCTTTTATAGCTAAGTGGTATTCATGTGTTTATATTTAAATAACATCTACACTTAGAAAAGAAGAAATGGAAAATACTAAATATATCTGTTTGCTAGGCTTCTGTAACAAAATAACACAGACTGGGCGCTTTAAACAACAGAAATTTAGTTACTCCTAGTTTTGGAGGCTAGAATTTCAAGATCAAGATGTTAGCACATTTGATTTCTTGTGTGGCTCTTCTCACTGTGTTCCCACACAGTCTTTCCACTCTGCTGTCTCTTCCTCTTCTTAGGAATTGGACCAGGACCCCACCCCCACAATCTCTTTTAACTTTCTTTTTTTTTAAAGGCCCCATATCCAAATAACAGTCACATTCTGAGGTACTGGGGATTAAGACTTTACCATGAATTTTGGGAGGATGAAATTTTTCTATAACACTAAGTCTAGGTAGGCTCCTATCCTTGGGTTGCCACTAGATTACTGGTCAGCTCATTACAACTCCACTTTGTGGTACCATTGTGAAATGAAAGAGTAGCATACTTTGCTATAGTCTGTAGGATTTCTCTTCAACACATAATTCATAACACATTTTATAAAAAAAAAAAAAAAGGAAAATAAACCAGCCACAAATTATGATCAACACTGGCGGTTAATATGTCTAGACATAACAATAGAATTGCCCACATTATACAGTTGATTTGAAATCTCTAACACTTCCTCCTGCCAAATAATTGTGTTTATATTATGTGAATAGTTAGAAGTTCATTCTATTTCTAATCCTATCATATTCATTCAAGCAAATGTGAAATTGGTTGAATATTGTAGGAAGATACAGAAATATAGTCATTTAAAGATTATATATTGAGCCTATCAGTTAGATATCAGCCTCTGTGATGTGGATACAGAGGTGAATAAAATAAGAAGAACCTCTTCCTTCATTGAGTTACTTGAGGGAAGTAGACAACATCCTATATAATAAAAGGCTAATATGCAAATCATCCCCTTGGGAGTTCAACCGCTTGCTATGATGTGCACTGACCACCATGGGGCAGCACGGAATGAAAGAAGGCCCTGGTTGGCAGCCAGAAGGCCCTGATTGGCCCTAATCACTGGCCAGGCCTAGGGATCCTATCTGTGCAAAAATTTTATGCACCAGGCCTCTAGTAGTAAATAATAAGCAATATCATGATAAATTACATTAAGTGCTGTGATGGTGGGACTGTGAAAGATCCTGTGCTAGGTGATAGACATACCCTTATCTGGATCTCTTTCTAACTCAGGTCTTTAGCACAGCCTGTGATGTTCTCCATGTCTTTTCTAAATGTTTCCTTTAGATTTCTAACTGAAATCTGGCTCCCTCAATGACACCGTTGGCCCTCTAGCCTCTTTCAGGTAGAAGCTGCTTTTTTCTCCCACACCCTCTGTTAGGTTATGGGATGTGTCTTCCTTGGTCTGCATCACCACTTCCAAACTGTTTCTCTGCCTCCATTATCAGAACTCCAACTCCTTTCAAGCCCTTGTGATCCTATCGTACCACCTTGTTACTTACTGTTCTTGGCCTCCACAACACCCATGTTGATAATTCATCCCATACCCTGGCCTTATAATCTTTTGTCTGCTCAATGTCCACAATCATGTCTCTGCTTTTCCATTTCCATTTTTGGATTACTGCCAAAGTCTCTCAAGCATTCTTCCTGTCTCTGTACAGTCTGCTCACTACATAACGGCCAGAGTTCTCTATGTTTATCAGGTCATGTCAGTCTTCTGGTTACAACCCTCTGTTGGGTTTCACCACATTTAGACTAAAATCTGAACTCATTATTATGGTCTCTAAAGTCATATGTACTTACATTTCAATTTTGTCATCTCCATTCTGGCTTACTCACTGTGCTCTGCCATAGGGACCTCCTTGCTCTTTCTTGAGCAACAAAGATCATTCCTTCTCAGAACCTTTGCTTAAGTGTCCTTCACTGGAACAGTATTCTTGGATCTTTATTGGACTGGAATCCTATTTACACTGATTTCTTAGCTGCAGTGCCTTCTCCTCAGGGGAACTTCTCTGGCCACTCAGGTTGAAATACTCCCCTCTCATTTACATTTGACCCCATTATTCTACTTTATGTCCAGTGCTTTTGGAATCAGACATTATGTGTTTTTTTGTTTTGTTTTTTTTTTGTTTTAAATTTATGCCTATCTCCTCCCATTAGACTATAGCTTCTTTAATTATAGGGTGTTTGGTTCATTGCCAGTTGCCAGGACTGTATACACAGTAGTATTCAGTAGATATTTGGTGATTCGATAAGTAATCAAGAATTATGCCACAAGCTGTTGAAGTTGTATTGGGTCTTGTCAAATGGCTTGATTTTGGCTAGAATCAAAATCATAGGGAATGCCAGGACTATACCAGGCAGGGCTGGTGGAGTGAGAAAAGTGAGAAGGTACAAAACATAACTTGTGATCATGAGATAAACCAGCTAGCTGGAGCAAGTGTTCATGATGGTACAGTATCAGGCTGGGCCTTCTTACCCCACCCTGTCACAGTGCTTCCATGGCACTTGATTTATACCCTTGTTGGAGTCTTCATTATGTAATTTGTTATATGAGTTTAGAATATATAACATGGGATGTAATAGTGACTGCTTCTTTTTTTTAACTGAATTATAGAGAAATTTATATTTTATTCATCTTGTTACCTAAAACATCCAATAAATATTTGTTTTGTGACATAAAATTGAAAAATAGTTCATTATAGACATTGAGGGAATCTTGCATGTTAGAACTAAGGATGTTGAATATTCATTGTGTTTTTGAACTAGAACAATAGTTAAGAAAAGTAATTTTGTAATAGTATGAAGGAACATAGAAATCTTTCCAGTACTACTGCCAAGGGAGGATAGAGAGAGACTGAACTAGGAATGGAAAATTCAGTTGGTACTATGAAAGGATGAAAAAACTGGTGGCCACTAGAGGGAGCAGCAACCTCAAGCATAGTGAGTCCTGCGTCTGTTGAAGGTAAAATTGAGTTTGCCAAGGAATACATGAGGGGGTGAGAATTTGTCTTGAGAGGAGGCTATTTGAGGAAGTCAGAGAGGATGCAGTTAAGATCATAAATGAAAAAGTTGAATTGAAAGTGGGCAATGATAACTTATGCTCAATACCAAAGGAAAGACCTGTAATTTTTTTTTTTTTTTTTTTTTTTTAAGATTTCTTTTGAGACTCATTTTTCTAATTTTTGTGTGCTACTTTGTATTTGGGTTATTTTAAAAGTTCATCTGTGATTCAGCCACTGTACTTCTGAACATTTATCCCAGGGAAATGAAAGTTTAGGTTCACACCAAAACCTGTACATTCATTTTATTTGAAATAGCCCAAACAGTACGAAATAGCCCAAGTGTTCTTCAGCAAGGGAAAGGTTAAGTAAATTGGGGTTCATCATACCGTAGAATATTACTCAGCAATATAAAAGGAATGAGCTACTGATATCTGCAACAATTAAGATGAATTTTGTGGGAATTATGCTGAATAGAAAAATACCTAATGCCAAAACATTACATACTATCTGGTTCTGTTTATATAACACATCTAGCATAGGGCTAGATCACAGATTCATAGTTGCCCATGGTGAGGGGATGGGGAGGGTGCAGGAGGCAGGTGGGGTGGTTATAAAAGGGAAGTACGAAGAATCCTTGTGGTGATAAAACAGTTTTGTATTTTGACTGTGATGGTGGATGCAGGAACCTGCATGTGATAAAATTACATAAAGCTACAGATAGTATAGAAATGTGTACATAAGTGCAACTGAGGGAATATAAGACTGGTGGATTATTAAAAATGTCAGCATCATGGATGAGATAATATACTATAGTTTTGCAAGCTATTACCTCTGGGGGAAACTAGTCATCTGCTATCTCTTTATATTATTTCTTACAACTGGTTGTGAACCTATAGTTTCTCAAAAGAAAATATTTAATTAAAAACGTGTTTAAATAAATAGATATAATTTTTATAATATATTTTATTTATCCCACAAAGCAAAATATTTATAATTTCAACATGTAATCTATATGAAATATTAATAAGAAAGTTCACCTGTAATCTCAGTAAGATAGTAATCCTTATAATTTTTGTTTTTATACCAATCAGACCAAATTTGCTAATTAGGTTGAATTTGCAACATATATTGTGAATGACTTGGTAAGTCTTTCACATAACCAAAAACTCTCTTTCTCTTATAGCTTTGTACCAAATCCTTCCCACCGTGCATGCGTCAGTTACACAAAGCTTTGCGGGACAATCACCATCTCCGTCACGGGGGCCGGATGCAGTATGGCCTCTTCCTGAAGGGCATTGGTTTAACGCTGGAGCAGGCACTGCAGTTCTGGAAGCAAGAATTTATCAGAGGGAAGATGGATCCAGACAAGGTAATTCTGAAAAATCAGAGCAGTAACTTTTGTTTGAAACGAAAAGGTCTGATTTTCAATATGCCCCTGAAATGTAGTTGCCAGTTCTAAAAGATAAACATGTCTACAGATTCTTTTAGGTAAAAAGAAACTCATGTACTAATGTAATAGATACTAAACAAAAGATTGGGAGAGTTAAGTTAACTCCAAGGGAGAAGATTGAAACAGCAGGGCCTAGTGTAAACTACTGCTTAAACTGAAGAGTCTTCTCCTCTGGGTATACTGGCAGCAGATGTGATAAGATGGAAACTTCCCTCTGAGTTATATTTCTGTAGCAATGTATATGTACATGTAATATACAAATGTACGTGTGTGCCGAAACCGGTTTGACTCAGTGGATAAAGCATCAGCCTGTGGACTGAAAGGTCCCGGGTTCGATTCTGGTCAAGGGCATGTACCTGGGTTGTGGGCACATCCCCAGTTGGAAGTGTGCAGGAGGCAGCTGATCGATGATTCTCTCTCATCGATGTTTCTAACTCTCTATCCCTTTCCTTTCCTCTCTGTAAGAAAATCAATAAAATATATTTAAAAAACACACACACACAAAAACCAAATGTACATGTGTGTGCACGCGCACGTGCACGTATAGCTGAGTCAGCTCTGATTTCTGGCCATCCTGAGAATGAGTGATGTCCACAATGTCCTGTCCTTAATAGCCAGTCTTTAAGTCCTTGTTCTGTTGTTCATATTTGTTGACATACCGTATTTTCCGACGTATAAGACGACCCCCTAATTTTACAGTTAAAACATAGGTTTAGGCCTATATTCGCTGTATAAGACTACCCCCTACTTCCGAGGCAACACCAGTTCTTTTTTTAATAGACCGCCTCTCTGACTCTGGCCAATCTGAGCAGGCTTTTTACTAGAACACAGTGCCAGAGTCAGAGAGGCGGTCTATTAAAAAAAGAACTGGTGTTGCCTCGGAACTGGGGGGTAGTCTTATACAGAGAATATAGGCCTCGACCTATGTTTTAAAAGGCGAAAGATTTATGCGGTCTGAAGAGAAACCAGAGCATCGACCTATGTTTTAACTGTAAAAATTAGGGGGTTGTCTTTTACGCCGGAAAATACGGTATTCTTGTTAGGAGTATAACAGACAGATTCAGTGTCTGTGGGTTGAAAAAATTCTATTGGTATTCCAGCCACCCCTGATGGTTTATTTCTTCCCAATACTTTGAAGGCAGCTTTCAATTCACTTTCTGGAATTACAGATTCATCCTCCTAGGAATCTTCAAAGGTGCCTTACACTCCTTTGTCTGTTCTCTGTAGATTGTCAGCATATTGTTTCCACCTTCTCTTTACTTTCTCCTGGTCAGAAAATGTGCTTCCGTGTCTGCTTGCATTTCTTGAATCTTCTGGTAGCAATTTCTGATTTTCCATTGTCATTGTTCTCTCTCCTTATATTGACATTGTAATCATTCTCTTTATTTTTACACTAGAGGCCTGGTGCATGAAATTCGTGCATGGGGAGGGGGTTTCCCTTAGCACAGCCTGCACTCTTTCTAATCTGGGACATCCCTCTCACAATCCAGGACTGCTGGCTCCCAACTGCTTGCCTGCCTGCCTGCCTGCCTTCCTGATTGCCCCTAACTGCTTCTGCCTGTCAGCCTGACCACTCCCCTAATCACTCCCATCCCAGCCTGATTGACGTCTCACTGCTCCCCTGCCAGCCTGTTTGCCCTTAACTTCCCTCCTCCGCTGACCTTGTCACCCCCAACTGCCCTCCGCTGCAGGGTTGATTGTCCACAACTGCCCTTCCTTGCAGCCCTGGTCCCTGCCAACTGTCCTCCCCTGCTGGCCATCTTGTGGTGGCCATCTTGTGTCCCTATCGGGGCAGGATTTTGACCACATGGAGCAGCCATCTTGTGTGTTGGAGTGATGGTCAATCTGCTTATTACTCTTTTATTAGACAGGATGACCATTGTTTAAAAAAGTGACTTCAGGTTTCTAACCTTGGCCTTGTCACCTTTCACTTTTGCCTCTGGTCTGCTTCTAACAATTTTTAATGTTTCTTCTGTCAGCCATCTCAATTTGTCTTTCCTTTTTACTTCTGGATTTTTTATTTTATTTTATTCTTCCTCCATACTATTTCTAGGTTCAGTTCCTCTTGTTCTTGGTCATTTAAGTTTAACAATGCAAACCTGCCTTTCTGTGGACTTTAAAACCATCAGGAATGTTACACGTTTGGCACTACAGTTCTTTTGGTTCTGTTCTTCAGCTTTACTCTGTGTTTGATACTAACAGATCATAGTCAGTACCACAACCCGCTCGTGCTCTCGTTTGGCAGAGCGAGCACAGCTTCTCCATCTCCTGCGTCCAGTCACACAGTCGGTTGGATTTCTGTATCGGCCACCTGGTGATGCCCATGTGTGCAATTGCTTGGTCACTTGTTTGAAGCATGTGTTTACGATCGACGAGTTGCTAGCTTTGCCCAAATCCATGAGCCACTCTCCTGCTTTATTTCTGACCGCTCGTTCCAGTTTTTTTTGATGGCATTTAATTCTGCTTTATTTCCTACTTTTGTGTCTCAGTGTTTATATTTATCAGCATGTCTTGTTTTGGTGTGTGCTCATTTTCTTCTTGGATACGTGTATAAAAGTTCTCTGTTTTTTCTTCTCCAGTCTCTGTAGTTGGAATTTGAAAGATTGTTACATTAAAAGGTTTTCCTACCGGTCTGATTACTTACATGCATGTCATGCCATTCAAGCTAAAAACTATTTAAAATGTTTTCTGTTGTATTATGCTAAGTTACATTGTGGAACATTTTTAGGTAAACATTAACTGCTTTTTTTGTTCATCAGTTTATGTTGTTCATTAGATTCCACATAAGTGAGCTCATGTGATACTTACCTTTCTCTGACTGGAGAGGACAATGGAGGAGAAAGGGGATATATGTAAACTTTCATCAACAATAAAGATTAAAAATAAAAGAACTACTTTTAAGTCTATTAATAGAAGTCAAATTCCCACTCCAATTCCTTATTTAATAGTGCTAGCTAATAACATTTTATTTTGGAAATATGTTTGTTTGTTTTATCCCTTCAGAGCCATGACACTGGTATGAAGTAAATTTTTTTACTGTTTATTTCTAGTTTTCTTCTTCCCAGCAAAGATAAATTATAAAACTAAGAATATTTACCAAGTACATTTTATAACACTTTATTATGTCTTTTATTAGTCTCCTAGAGCTAGTATAGCATAGATCGGTGCTTTAAATAACTAGAATGTATTTTCTCCAGTTCTGGAGGCTGGAAGTCCAAGGTCAAGATGTGGGCAGATTTGTTTCTTCTCAAAGCCTCTCCCCCCAGCTTCTATCAGCCACCCTCTTGCTGTGTCCTTACCTGGCCTTCTCTCTGCTTTCACTTCTCTGATGCCTTTTCCTCTTGTGAGGACACAGTCATAAGGGAATGGAGTCCACCCTTACCACCCTATTTAGCCTCAGGACCTCTTTAAATGCCCTATCTCCAAATGCAGTCACTTGGTGAGGTAAGGCTTCAACATGTGAATTTCAGTCCATAACATGTCCCTAGCTTTATATATCTTTGAAGTTCAAGATTCTTTTTTTTTTTTTTTAAATATATTTTATTGATTTTTATACAGAGAGGAAGGGAGAGAGATAGAGAGTTAGAAACATCGATGAGAGAGAGTCATCGATTAGCTGCCTCTTGCACACCCCCTACTGGGGATATGCCCGCAACCAAGGTACATGCCCTTGACTGGAATCGAACCTGGGACCCTTCAGTCCCCAAGCCGACGCTCTAACCATTGAGCCAAACCGGTCCTGGCTGAAGTTCAAGATTCTTTAAAAAAAAAAAAAAAAAAAAAAAAAAAATATATATATATATATATATATATATATATATATATATATTATTGATTTTTTACAGAGAGGAAGAGAGAGGGATAGAGAGTTAGGAACATCGATGAGAGAGAATCATCGATCAGCTGCCTCTTGCACACCCCCTACTGGGGATGTGCCCGCAACCAAGGTACATGCCCTTGACCGGAATCGAACCTGGGACCTTTCAGTCTGCATGCTAACACTCTGTCCACTGAGCCAAACCGGTTTCGGCTCAAGATTCTTTTATTTATAACATCTAAAAAGCTCTTATAATTTTTACAGATTTATTTTTAAAAACTGCTTCCACTGATAAATTCTTAATTTATCTTTTTTAAATAGGATCTTCTTTAAACACAATTTTGGGCCATGTTTTTAGACTTCTAATATATATAATTTTAAAGATAACATTCTGATTTTAGAAAATACGAAAAAAAAATGACCTCCCATTTCCCCATTCAGAAATAATTATTGTGAAAATTTTAGCTTTTCCTCTTTAATCTAGATAGGTAGATACCACTATGTCCCCACCTTTTAAAACTGACATTCTATTATCATTTCCCCATGTTGCTGAGTGATTTTTGAAAATATCATTTGTATTAGCTGCATGACAGCATATCCTTTGAAAGTGATATAATTGGCACCCAGAAATCCATGACTTTTTTATACACCAATAATGAATTCACGGAAAGAGAAGTAAAAAAAAAAATCCCATTTGCCATTGCATCAAAAAAACTAAGTTACCTAGGAATAAACTTAACTAAGGATGTAAAAGACCTGTACTTGGAAAACTACAGGACATTGAAAAAGGAGATAGAGGAAGACATAAATAAAGAGTAGAACATATCATGTTCATGGGTTGGTAGAATCAACATCATTAAAATGTCCATACTACCCAAAGCTATCTATAGATTCAATGCAATACCTATTAAAATACTAATAGCATATTCCAAAGATCTAGAACAAACTCTACAAAAATTCATCTGGAATAAAAAAAGACCCTGAATAGACACAGCAATCCTGAGAAAGAACAAATTTGGAGGGATCACAATACCAGACATCAAGCTATATTACCAAGCCACAATTCTCAAAATTGCCTGGTACTGGCATATATATATCCCCC